GGGGAAGCGATCCCCCCTGGCTGAGAGGGAAAGATTTCCACTCACCCCCGCGCTTGCGGCTGCGTCTCGCACGCACAGAAGGCCAGCCCGCCGTTCTCCTCCCTCACGCGAACTGCCAATGAATCAACAAAGCCGACCGACGTCTCTCTAGATGAGCGCGGCACGACACGGATAACAAAGCTCTATATGATGTCGTCGCGCGCATTTCGAAGAGTGAGGAGATCACCACTGTTTTGACAACTTCAACTTACTTCAGAAAAGCCATCTCCTTTTCGGACCAGCTATCCACTGTACGTTCGTTTCTTATGATACAAGGATATGTATACGTCTTCTACCGATTTTACGGACCAGAGTGCCCTTTGTGTTTTCTTTACTGATGTTTGAGGACCCTTTGAACGACTTAGATTTCCTAACAAGCGTGTTTTTTTTTTTTCTTAAACGCGCACTGGCATTTATCGGTAGATGAAAAAGTTCTGGAAATTTTAACGGATTTTAACGATTAATATCGTGATGGCTTTGTTGGCTACCGTTGGTATTTGAGGCTACTAACGGTTTTGCACTAGATTAGAGAATCAAACTCAAGTCTCTAACAAGAAAAATGTTTTAAAACTTTTTTTTTTAATCATATTTTTTTTAAACTTAAGAAAAACAACAAAAATCATTAAAAAACCCAGAACAATTACAGCCAGAAAAACAAACAACCAAAGAACAAACAAACAAATAAGTAACCAAACAAAAGTTAGCGCTTTTAAGGTCATTCCCAAAACAACAAAAATCTTCTTGTGGAATCGTTAGCTTAACTTGAACAGTTTTTCACATACATGTATTATGTTCGCCTCTGGTACACGATGCGTGTTCCAAAATTAATGAACGCTTCAAAATGTCTATCAAATATATTTTCGTTTTATTTGTTACGAGGAATATTCCATCTCGATTCCAGTCCGGGGAGAAAACGAACTACCAGTAATTTGGTGTAGCGAATAAGCGCTTCACAGTCGCACACAGACGACCTGAGTTTAATTCCCATGCGAGGGGAATTTTCATCGAGTTTCGCGGTCTTTCTGCTGGGAATTTTAAAAATCCAATTCGGTCCAGGCTGGCCGTGACAAGCAAGGTCGAAAAAGCTCCTCCTCAAAGACCCACACTGTGTCGATGGGGGCGTTTTACAGCTACATTAAAACATCACGATTAGATAAAAGTGTAAACGACCGACCTACTTAGTGAGTTATAGTGCACTTAACCCTATCCGTACGCCGTGTTTTACCATCGTATCCATACGACGTGGGGAACTCTGTTGTGTCAACACTTTCCAAAAAGGAAATTTACTCATTAATCCGATTGTACGCTTTGCATAGGAGTCAGTCAAAATGATTTTTTGAGAAATACTGAAAGTTTCAAAGAGATCTTCGTACTAGAAGAATTCTAAACTGTGAAGAATACAACACCGGGGGTACAAAATGACCCTAGGGTGTACGGATAGGGTTAAGCAAAACAGTACCGGACGAACAATGCGAGGAGACAAACATACAGCACAGGAAATTGTTTTTTACTGCCAGCTTGGTGATGACCGTTGGCGCAGACAGGGTCGTTCGATTAGCCTGGCTTTTAGTCTCATTCATCTTTTTTTTCGAAAGTTTTGCGTCCAACCCGTCTAACTCAGCGTAGGCTAGATGGCTGAACCTTAATAACTACCAAGCGCCCAGCTCTGCAGCTCTCGAGGTGCTACTCAAAACTCACAATCTTCCTGTCAGAGTGGTGTCATTTTCTCTCAGTGCGTACTGTATTATTTTGCCAACCCCTCTTTCATCCCAATATTATTTCAAAAGAAAAGCGGTTTGCGACTCGTCTTCAAAACCGCCTATCTGCACTGACATGACATATTTTTTATTATGTTATGGGTTGAAACATTGTAATTTACTCTGTTTAAAGTTCACGTCACGGAAGATAGATGCTGTAAGAAAAAAAAAAAAGTAAGATATCGTGGTGAAATCAGGCGCTCGTCAAAATAATGAAATCGGAGAAATCGGCATTTTTTTGGCCCATGGGCAATTTTTTCCTATTTTTCTTCGTTATTGCCGCAACACCTTTTATGTTCATTTAAAAGCACATTTAAGTATGGATTTTTAAATGAAAAACATTGACTAAAGGCACAAAAAATGTAAATTTTCAATATGCAAAGACTATCATGCTACGGAAGCTACTAAACTTTGAATGTCATTTTCTCTCTAATTTTACCCATGAAACCAAGCGACCCTGACCTCCTTCAACCGCAAATATTTCGACATAAACGTGCTTTTTTTCTTTCCCAACCAGAAAGGCATATGAACAGGCTTTAAAGTGATACCAATAATCCCATATGCCCAAAAGTTGACGAGCGCCTGATTCCACCACACCGTGACACAAAATGTATCTTTGGCGTCAGCTAATGCTGTGCACACATGCGTTCGCCTTTTGTGATTGAAACTCTTGACAGACGCCTCATGACGTGAACTGCAGTATATTAGAACTTCTAGATTTTACTCATTTTACACACGCGTTCTGGCCCTTGGACACGCAGTGTTTTGGGGTTTAACACTTAAAAATAGAAGAATAATTACAACGTTATCCATACATATTTTTAATCTGCTTTATTTTCCTAACACTAACACATAAAAAGGCAGACAAAAACCTGCGTGTTATGAAATATGTCTATTCACGTTTCTGATTTCTGTATGGTCGTTCGAAATGTATTGCAACATTGCTATTGTCTTCTGCTTATCAGACATACCTGTCCTTCATATCTTTAAGAGTTAAACAACATCACGATGCCAAAAGCTCCAGCATGGTTTGGAGGTAAAAGTAAATTTCGACCCCCCCCCCTCCA